CTAGAGATGCTCTTCATGCATGTTGTGCTAGGGTAGGCTTGCATGCTTATGTGTGCGTGAGGTGCAAGGGGGAGTGTTGGAAGCGTGGGGGACGGGATTGCCCCCCACGCGAAAGACCTCCCTTGACTCGGACCAAGGGAGGGTTCGTTCTTGGAAGGTTGGGGTGACGGCGGATTGTTCGCGTCGCCATGCAACCGAACTTCCCCCGGTTGGGTCCAAATATTTGTGGGGTGACACTTGGCAGCCCCACAAGCATGCACGAAAATAGCAAGAGTGCAAGCGAATGTTACGAACATTTCGCTACACTCGCTATTGTTCCTTGTAACACACAATTGTCGGCGTGAAGAAACGAACCCGGCAAATTCCGAAATTGTGAACGCGGACGTCGCGGAAATTGGACGCGATCCTGAGTCTGAATTCCCGGCGAGTCGCGCGCGGTTCGATGTTACAATTGTGCTTGCATGTTTTAGCTATAAAACCAGAGAGCAAATTCCAGGGAGTTAACTTCAACTCATCACTTGTACCCATCCTTGCATTATAAGCAATATCTCTTTCAATTCTCAGGCGATTATAGAGATTCAAAGTGCCACGGATTCCTTGCTCTGAGCCCGTCAAAACGATCCTAGTCTTGGCTCCTAACTCGCCAAGTGCATTCTGCGGCGTCACTAGGAGCAGGCCGGTTTCATTCAAAATTTTCAATGTTCATTTCTGCTCTTCATATTTTAACATTCGGCCTGGTTTCTTCCTTGTGCTGCGCAGCGACCACAACGGCGCAAACCCCCACTGGCGGACCCGTGGCGTGCCCGTTACCCAAGGGCGACGATGCCGAGGCTCTCGGCACTCTCACTGGTGAGAAGCGTGTCATAACAATATAGCTTTTACATTTGTGTAGGCTATAGTGGGGTAGCCCATAAGGGGTACAACCCAATTAGGGTTAGTACTTGTACCCAACTGTTTCATAGTTCATTCATTCTCGTTCATCATTTCGACAAAGAGAACGGGAAGCTGAACGGCCCGAGATGCTTGTGTACCGTTGTTACGGTGTACACGTACGTTTCAAGCGGCCAATTGAGTTTTGGTTGCTTCGAAGTCACGCGCAAGTGACATATATGTCGCTTCCGGAGTTACTTTCTGGACGTATCTCCTCACTTTTTTGTTGCGTATGTAGTCACATTGCCCAAGTAGCTTTTGACCATGACTGAAAAGCTACTTGGTTTAAGTATCGAAAAAGTCATGTATATGTGACTTTTTTTCGTAGCTTTTTGAACATGAAAATTCCGCGATGGACGCGTGGGGTCGTCCAGGGAACGAAGGCTTCGTACTACCACCGTTCCGCCGGCATATACACTGACAAAAGATACCCACCACTCCTCCACCACAATTTGCGCTCCTCCCTCGTATCCGCTCTCTCTCTAACCGCGTCGCTCTGCCGCTCCCCTCCCCATTCTCTCAGCGCAGTGATTCTGACAGCATCGCTGAACGGATCCTCCAACTTGAATGGGTTTGCGGGTGACGTCAACGCCTCCGGTCAAGCCTGCCTCGGCGTCTACGAGTAAGTTGCATCTCCCTGCCTCAAACATCATCAATGCCTTCTTTCCTCCCCCGACAAGCTCGACTGCTTCCCGCCGTCTCCCTGAGCATTACCCTTCTTCCTCACTTCAATGTGACTCTCATATTCCTCCCTTTGTTCCACCTCTCTTCCGCGAACCCTGACTGAATCCGTCAGGTTAGACGGCGACTACAATATCGTTTACAACATCGTCGCCTCTACCCCCAAAGCGGGCGAGCCCGCCTTCGCCAGCATTGTGAAAGAAATGGGGCAGGAGAGAACCGTCGCCGCTTTTTACTCCCCCCCAGGGATCGATGGCCCGTGGGTGAATCTCACTCGTTCACCACCCTCCACAGCAAACCAGGGTAGGAAGGGCCTCGGCGAGGCACCCGCGTTCCCTTCAACGTACACCTATGCCCTTAACGGAATGTGGCTTAAAGCGAGTACGCTGACCACGTTCCAAGGGCAGACTTACAAGCAGCTGGTGGGTTTGATTGTGGCGGCACCGGATGGGTACTATTGCACTGGGTTTGGGACAGCAGCTTTCCAGGCGGGAGCAACCATGGGTCTGTTTCAAGTTCAGCCCGTTGCTGGCAAAGCCTAAGGAGAAGAAGAGAGGAGCAAAAAGGATGAGAAGAGTTTGATGAGATTTAATATGGATGAAAGGACAAGAGTGCAGCAGTGGGGCTCTAGCATGGGAGGAAATGGAAATGTATGTAATGTGATGTTCTACCGTATTACCCCGGATAGAAGCGCACCTGCGCTTATAATGAAGCAGAGTTTTTTAGGGGGGTGCGCTTCCAATTGAGTCATTTTTATAAGAGCATGCGCTTATATAATGACAGATACAGATTTATAAATTTATAGTATCAAAATGTACATCTCAGTCATACCATTCCAATCGAGGTGAAATTTTATAGCGCCAAAAATCAGAATTGCGCGCTACCGATTTTTTTCCAACACACAGGGGCAAAGACACGTGAGTGCAAGATGTGCCATCTTCCTGACAGGCCCCTCACGACACAGCTAACCGTAAGTGAGCGTCCCTCAACTGACTCAACCAACGCCTGAAACGTCCACCCAAACATCCCCTCGTCTCAACAATCAAAGGTGTGAACTGCACCCCCCGATTGCTCGCTAGTAACGGCGCGTAATCGTTCGCCTTGCATCGCTCCCACTCATTGGCCGCCACGCCCACAGACCGCTCGCACTGCCCAACCAAAGATGGAGAGAGCGACAAGGGGTCTGCAACACTGATCTCCAAGGCGTGCGCCTCTCCGTCTATCGGTCGATGCACTGCAACATCCACACGCTTTCCCGGCAACAACATGTCATCCTCCATCGTCACCACCCCCCCGGATGCTTTGGAAATCTTCGCCACCTCAAACTTCACCTCATCGTGCACCCGAGAGGGACCGTGCTGGTACTTGCATCGCAGTGCATGATGCGGGTCCGCTGGGTCCGCGTACACTGTGCCGCATACACAACGCCCTGCCATGTGCAGCTGCTGGATCGGAAGGCCCAGACGCACAGCTGCAGCAATGCTCCACTCAGCAGCTGTGAAGGTGAAATCCGCATGAGCTGGGACAGCCGAGACCCATGCACCAGCCCCCGGGCCCTAAAGGGATGTGAAACGGGCCAGGGTGGCATCGTCACGGGCCAATCGGCGCACGGCTTGAAGTTCCTCCACGGCCAACTGCCGCAGCCGTGCCTGGAAGAGACGAACGGGGGGGGGGGGGGGGGCAGCGACACAGATAGGCAGGCTCGGCATCTCCCGGCGTACAGCCTCTGGCAGTTGCTCGAGGCTCTTGGAGAACCAGGGGTCAAGAAAATCCACCCCCGCCACAGTCCTGAGATAGTCCGCAAAAATCGCCTCTTCACCTGCTACCCCCAACTATGCACTGTCACGCGCAGCCTGCGCCCACCCACAAGCGTAAGGCAATGGACTCAAGGAAGTTGCTGCTCGAATCCCAAAGCCACCGAGGCGAACAGGTAGGTGCAAGTGCAGGCGAGCCAGCCTAGACCGTGTAGGGTCGAACTCCTAGGTACCAGACGGGAAGAGCTGCTCGAAACAGTCCTCCAGACTATTGTCCCAGTCACTGAAAGTGTCCACCACCTCTGGCCGCGGCGGCACGGTCCACGCGAGGTACATCGGCCGCGTTGAAACAGCGATAGCCAAGAGGTGTGACGCCATCTGTGGGTGGTCGAGCAAGGGGAGCCACGGCAAGGGCGTCTGCAGCTGCCGAAGCCGCTCCCACAAACGAGCCACCTCCCAGTCCTCCGCTCCTATGGGGACCCCCACCACTGTGAGTCCCTCCTCCACCCGCTGCATGCCCAAAGGCATCTCCTGTATCGCATCAGAGGCCTCCCGTACCTAGAATCGGCACTTGGGGGCCTGCACCTCCAACCCCACCACTTGCAGCCGTTTCCGTAACACGCCAAACGCCTCCAGAAGCCTTGCTGCCGGGCCCAAAATGTGGGTATCATCCGCATAGCTCAGGAAAAGCAAATCGGCAAACTCTCTAGTGACCGGCTCCATGACCAGCTGCTGCGTGAATGCGAAGAGGAAAGGCCCGAGCGGGTCCCCCTACCGGGATCCTCGTGCTGAAGCAAGAGTTTCTACAAACGGGCCTGCCCGGAGATAAAGATCGCTAGGTGTCCCGTAAAAGATGCCCCAGAATGGGATGAGACCCAAAAAGAGGGACTCCCGCATCCCATCAAACATCGCCCATCAGTGGGAGGAGTTGAATGCGTTTGCAACATCTATCTGCAGCGCGCACCAATCTGTGTGAGTAGTCAGAGCCGAGCGAAATGCGTTAGTCAAAATCTCCATTCCTGCACTGGTGCCAACGCCCAGCTGGTGACACGGCTGAAAGTGGGTGTAATGCAGAGTGCTCGTGCAAGGATGCACGGAAGGACCTCTCCAATGGCCACCGGCCTGACATCGCCGTTGGGCTTAGACAGCCCAACCAGGTTAGAAGCAGCAAGCCAGGGCTGTGCCCGCTCGGGAACCTGCCCTGCAACCCATTGGTTGAATACCTCGAGCAGATGAACCAGGCTGGTCGGTTCTATGAGGAATGTGTCCCGCAGGTGCTCCGTAAGCCACCCCGACGGCCCTGCAGCGGAAGCGCGAGCAGCTATGTGAATAGCCCTAGCTAGTATGTCGACCGTGAGCACTGGTCGCTGAGGAGCGTCGATGTCCAAGGTACGGACCCACTCCGGTATTTAGCCCACGCTGGTGGGATGCTTCCCCCGCAATGACTGCACCATAGCCTCAGACGGCCGAGCCAACTCCCCTGCCATGAGGCATGCCAACCCACGACTCCACTCCCCCACTTTGCACCTAGTCCGACAACGAGCAAGGCGGATGGCGTCAGGGTCTTGGTGGGAGGAAGTATATGTTAAGGGACGAACTGCCGGGCGTGCTGCAAGTATGGCAGAGTCGAACTGCTCACGCCATCTCCCCTCCCAGAACGCCGTCAAACGCTCCATAATCAATGCCCTCTGACCCATCCCCGGTTTGGTCGGCAGGCCTAGGAGGAGGTGTGGGAAGGCCAAGAGAAAGAGTGTTGCAGCTTCGTCCTTGGGTCGGCTCTTCAGTCGTTTCAAAACACAGCACAGTGCATCGAGGACCCCCAGCTGGGCACGCTGAGGGATCCGACACACCGTCTTCCCCCCTACCACCTCCACACAGAAAAATGCTTCCCAATCCCATGACGAAACCACCGCCCATACCCCGTCCTGGATTTCCCTCAATGTCGGTCTCTCCTGTGTGCCATCTTTTGCGAGGGAAGGAATTAAGCCAAGTGCATATGCACGCCTCTCCGCCTCAGCCGCTCGACACACTGTCATGTGGCTCGCAGCCGCCCCTCGAGTAGCAAATGTGTGAAAGCACACGTCGCATGGGTAGCGGGGAAGCGGAGGAGGCAGCTCATGGTGTCCCTCATCCGATGCCACTGCCACCTCTACTGCCGCCATGGGGGTGTCGAACGTCACCAATTGCCGCGGGGATTCGGTACCCTGCTCACACCCTCCTCCTTGCCACTGCACGACCTGGTCTGCTGCGGCCACCCCTGGCTGCCCTTCCAGCTGCTGCATATCATAGTCCCCTACTATCACCCCCGGCAACCCTCCTCGCTGCTGTGCACCCTAGGGTGCTACCATCCCCCCCGGTTGGCCCCCCGGGTGTTGCATGTCCCGGAGTGCTGTTGTCGCCCCTGACCGCCCCCTCGTCTGCCGCCTGGCCCTGGGTGTTGCTACCTCCCCCGGCTGCCCCCTTTGCACGCCGCAGGGTGGAGTAGTGACCCCCGGCTGCCACCCTGGCTGCTGCGCAGCCTGAGGTGATGTGACCTCTCCCTGCCACCCCAGCGTCTGCTGCCCGCCATGGGATGCAGTGCCCGCCCCCAGCTGCCCCCCCGACTGATGAATGTCCTGGGGTGCTGCTGTCACCCCCAACTGAACTCCTAGCCGTTGTGAGGCCTGTGGTGCTGATATCATCCCCACCTGCCCCCCTGGATGATGCACGCGCTGGGGTGATCCTGGCACTCCCGGCTGCCCCCCTGCCTACTGCACGTCCTGGGGTATTGCTATCACCCCGGGCTGCCCCCCTGCCTGCTGCACGCCCTGGGGTGCTGCTAGTACCCCCGGTCGTCCCCCTGTCTGCTGCACGCCCTGGGATGCTGCTATCACCCCCGGCCCTCCCCCAGGCCGCTGCACGCCCTGGGGTGTTGCTATCACCCCCGGCTGTCCCGCTGCCTGCTGCACGCCCTGGGGTGCTGCTATCACCCCGGGCTGCCCCCCTGATTGTCGCGCGCCCTGTGGCACGCCTACCCCTCCCGGCTGTTCCCCAAACTGCTGCTCGCTTTGGAGTGCCGCTCTCACCCCCTGCTGTCCCCCTGGATGCAAGGCTCCCTCGGGTGGTGCTGCCCCCCCCAGCTGCCCCTCCGTCTGCCGCTCGCTCTGGGGTCCTGTGATCAACCCCCGCTGCACCCCAGCCTACTGCACAGCCTGGGGTGATGCAGTCACCCCCGGCTGTCCCTCCGCCTGCTGCACGCCCAGCTGATTGCCTGGCCTCTGCCTACCCTGGCCTCCACGTCGCCTCCTGCCCTTGCCTCGTGGCAGTTGTTCGTGGAAGGGCCCCTGCGCCTGTGCATCCGGATGACCCTGCCACTGGCCTTTCCGACCAGTTTCCCCCACCTGCTGCCCATCATTTTGCCCTGCCAGCAGCTCCCCAGGTAACCCGCCGAAAGCGTCGGCAACAACTATCTGGCTGTTGGCAGCGGATTACACTTAGAGTTTCCCGCAGCGCGAAACTGTTGAAGGCGTGTTACCCAGGAAACGTTTTGCAGTGGCGTAACACTTCTCAACCGATGCTGGGTTTTACGGAACCGTTCTGAAACAATCGTAACCTTCGAATGTGACCACGATTCGACACCCCGTGCCGCACCCCCTCGCACAGCCCATAAATAGCACTCCACTGGTCTTTCAAGAAAATCAAGCATTCAGTTTGTTCGCCACTTCATCGAGTAGCAGCCAAATCTGAATTTCATCCCTCCTCTCTCGAAATTTCAGTCTACGATGGGGCTCCAGCGCTATGCCGGCTTGGCAATTTGCCTCTTGGTCATCACCGCAAGCGTCGGTAAGTGAGCCTCGCATTTTTCAACTAACAAGCCGCTTGATCTATCATCCGTTCAGTTCCAGAATCAAGATGATATGATGCTATTCACAATTCTAATATTCTACGTGCCTCGTGATTCTTCCGTCTGCTGCGCAGCGACCACGACAGCGCAAGCCCCGAAGGACAGCCCCTGCACTTTGCCCAAGCCCGACCAGGCTGAAGCTCTTGGGAATCTGTCAGGTAAGAAACTCACGGGAACATGTGAGACTGCTCACTCTGGTAACAGCGGTACTGCTGAGGATCTGACACTCTCGATATTCCCGTAACCAGGTGGGGCTGTTCGTCGCACAGCGTCATGTGATGGCATGTCCTTCCACTGGAAGGAACGACGCCGTTACAAGCCTCGCCTCATATCACCGCTAATAACCGCCCCCGCTAGGGATCATCCGAAGTTACCCCACCCCTTCCCTCCAATCTCCTTCCCGCTTCGCATCGCTCCGCCCCTCCCCCTCCCCTTCTATCCGCGCAGCGATTCTCTCCACGCCGGTGAGCGGATCCTTTGGCGGGTGGACGGGCGACGTCAACGCCAGCGGTCAAGTCTGCCTCGCCGTCTACGGGTAAGCCTCCACGCAATCTCCGTGAGCCTTGCCTACTTCCTCCCTTTTTCAGCTCCCCTCTTCAAATAATGCGACTCTCATTCCTGTCGTTCCCAAACTTGTTTCAACGGCGAACCCTGACTGAATCCGTCAGGTTGAACGGCGACTACAACATCTTTTACAGCGTCGTTGCCTCGAAAGCCGACGCGGGCGAGCCGACCTTCGCCGGCATTGCGAAGGACATGGGACAGGAGAGACTTGTCGCGGTCTTTTTCTCCCCCCCAGGGACCAACGGCCCGTGGGAGGATCTTACTAATGCGCCGCTTTCGCCAAACCAGAGCAGGAAGAGCCTGTGCGACGCACCCGCTTCCCCTTCCACATACACCTACGCCTTAAACGGAACGTGGCTTAAAGCGAGTACGCTGACCACGTTCCAAGGGGACACTTACAAGCAGCTGGTGGATTCGATTATCGCGGGGCCTGAAGGGTACTGCACGGGGTTCGGAACGGCGGCTTTCCAAGCGGGAGCAGCCATGGGGCAGTTCCAGGTTCAGCCCGTTGCCGTCAAAGCCTAAGGACATAAGGAGCAGTGGGGACTCTAGAAATGATGATGTAGTTGATATGGAGGAGATCTATGAAATGTATGAAATATGTCTGATATTCCTGTTGTAACTAGAGTTCTTGAGAACTTTGTGAAGCAAGTGAAGCTTTTGATCTTTGAGCTTGTCCTCCGTCTCCCTGACTCTCTTTCCCTTGGGCTGCATGCATTACTTGCAGTCTGTAAACCCTGTCTTGGTGGAGCGATAGCCACAGTCCACTCCATAGCATGCCAGCCAAAGAACAATGCTAGCTGCCTGGAGATGGAAGTGCTCCCCCCAGTGGGCATTACAAGAAAATCGTATGGTTTAGAATGCCCAACCCAGTAGCCCAGACAGGGAAATAGACCTCAAGCAAACACTCATGCATACGGTACTTTGATACCCGCCTATAATGGAGAAGGCCGTAAGACAAGGTGAAACCAGCTGAACCTTCTCTTATGCGGAAGCATGTGTGACAAGCGTGTTTGAACTCTACTCAGGGCACATAAGGGCCAAGGAGGCTGAGCCTTTTTTCAGAGCAAAGATGCTAAACCCCTTTCCACACGCCGCATCACGCCATGATTGCCTGTTTGAGCATTTAGTTTTGGTACATGCCAGGCGAAATAAGGCTGGCTTGTAGACGCCTCAATCAAAACACACGCTGCCATATGTCACACCATGATTGCCTGCTTGAGCACTTTGCTTCGGTACACGCCAAGAGCCCAGATGGGGAAGATGTTGCGATAAGCGGAGTAGCTTATCATGCAGTTGCCGTTGAACACCCCGATGATGTCCTGCAGGGCGTCAAATCAAACGCACAGAAAGCAGAGGGACAGGGGCAACGCTTATGGAGGAGAGAAGGTGACTCACGAAAGCAGGTAGGCTGATTGTGCACACTGTGAATTCACAATCTCTCCGATCCACATTCTCCCCATCTCTCCCCCTCCTACGTCCTCATATGATCTCCGATAGGTGAATTGTTTTTCTCCCCATTGATGAGCACTGGTGCTGCTGTGTGCATGCATGCATGGATGGTGCTTTGAGGCAATTGTTACCCAACCCATCTCCTCCCCCTTCGCACATTGTGTAAGAAGGTCCTCTATCGCTGCTTGATAGATCTTTTTGGGGAATTCTGAGTTCTCTCCAACCCCTCCCCTCGCTTCTCAACCTCTGCACCCATAGAGCTCCCTCACCTCCTGAGGAAAGTCCCCATTCTCCATCTGTCCGTTCACCAGCACCCGTGCTGCAGCGTGCAGAGGCCGGGGGTCGCGCAGATGCTGCCACAGGAGCATGTGAGAAGGGAGGAGGGGGTTGGGTGGGGAGTTGGGGGTTGGGGTTGAAGGGTGGTGGAAGGAGGAATGCTGAATTTGATTTTTGAGAATTCTAAAAAAACAGATACAGGAGCATGCGAGAAGGGAGGAGGGGGCTGGGTGGGGGGTTTGGGGTTGGGGTTGAAGAATGGTGGAAGGAGGAATGCTAACTTGCTGGCAGGGGGAGGGAGCGCCAGCTCCTGCGTGCAGAGGGCTGGGGGCCGCGCAGGTGCTGGGATGAGGAAGTGAGTGCTTAAATCGCAGACACCGCCACCCTCCCTACGGAAAAAATACCTTCTTCCAGACACACCCTGCCCACCTGGTCGGCTTCCATGAGAGCCAGCATGGCCCACGCCGTGTTCACCAGTACAGTGCAGCCTGGCCTGGCGCAAGTGCAACAGTACAGCCTGGCCTTCAAGTCAGATACCACCTCCCCCACGTTCAGCCTACCTGGTCGGCTTCCATGAGAGCCAGCATGGCCCACGCCGTGTTTGCCAGGTGAGGATGAGTGGGGCAAGCGAAAACTGGCCTACAGGGCTCTCAAAGCAGATACCACTTCCCCCACGAAGCAGAAAGCACCTCCCCCAGGCTCAGCCCACCTGCTCGGCTTCCATGAGAGCCAGCATGGCCCACGCGGTGTTCATCAGGTGAGGGCGGTCGCCTGGCAGGTTGACGTATTTCTGCACGTGATGGTTACAGTTAGGCAGGGATATTGGGATGCAAGATGGGAATATAAGGGTGACATGTGACAGACAACGAATGTGACAGACAAAGAATGTGACACTGGAGAGGTGGGCGACGCGTGGCAGACAGGCGTCAACGAATGCCACGCGACATGTGGCATCACGTGGCAGATAGGCGTCAACGAATGCCACGCGACATGTGGCATCGCGTGGCAGATAGGTGTCAACGAATGCCACGCGACATGTGGCATCGCGTGGCAGATAGGCGTCAACGAATGCCACGCGACATGTGGCATCGCGTGGCAGATAGGCGTCAACGAATGCCACGCGACATGTGGCATTGCGTGGCAGATAGGCGTCAACGAATGCCACGCGACATGTGGCATCGCATGGCAGATAGGCGTCAACGAATGCCACGCGACATGTGGCATCGCGCGGCAGATAGAAGGGCGTCAGCTCTTCAGACAGGCAGGGCAGTCGCTGTGGACGGAAGATGGGATATTGGTTGGGGTAAAAGAGGCACGTGAGACAAGGAGAGCAGCGTGTGGAGGCCGGATGTGGGCAGGGTAGTGATCGCTAGCCTTTGGTGTGCATGTATCCCTGCAAGTGACCTGTGTGAGGTGAGCGGGCGTGAAGTGTCAGCAAAGGTCCCCTTAAACGTACTCGCTCGCTGTCTCAAAACTGGTCGCAGCGTACCTCACATCGGCTTTTACGTCCTCTCAAAAGCTCACTTAACCACATAGCACAGCGTAGCACACACACACACACACTCACACGCCTCGTCTTGGCTATGAAGATTGTACCCTTGTCTTGGCTGGAAAGGTAGCTCTCCCCCCACCCTCCTGCCGGCAGCTGCTTGTCCAGCAGGAAGCGCACTGCGTTGAGCCGTGTTCCCTCAACCACACGCACTCAGTGCACACACCTTGTCTTGGCTAGACAAATAGCCCCCCCCCCCACCCCCCTGTTGCCAGCTGCTTGTCCAGCAAGAAACGCACGGCACACCTGGCACACATTTATATGTAGACACACACCTGGCACACATTTGTGTGTAGACGCACACCTGGCACACATTTGTATGTAGACGCACACCTGGCACACATTTGTATGTAGACGCACAGCACCGCACGCACACCTTGTCTTGGCTGGACAGGTAGCTCTCCCCCCACCCCCCTGCCGGTAGCTGCTTGTCCAACAGGAAGCGCACGGCCTTGCGGACGGCATTCGACGTCTCGTAGCGCGCCCCCGCGGCCACCAGCCCTGAGATCCCGAACCACGTGCCGTACGTGAAGCACACGCCCCAGCTGCCGTACCTGCATTGATGGTTCAGGTGGGGAGGAATGGAGGGGGCTTCAGGGTTCGAGATTGCTACTACCAATGCCCAACGTGCGAAAAGAGCAGCACACGCCCCAGCTGTCGCACCGGCATGGATGGTTTGGGTGGGGAATTAGCCTTAGCCCCAGCTCAACCTTGAAGTGGCACCTCAAGTGTGGTTGCCCTGCCTTAATTGGGGAATGATCTGCCAGTCTACACATCGTTACCCCCACATGCCGAAGGGGAACACGTTCAAGCCTTCATAATTGTGAGACATGCATCAAGGCATGAAAGAGCATCATTGCAGGTTCACTACGCACCACGAGCCATCGTCCCTCTGGATATCCACCAGGAAGCCCTGTGCCTTCCAGATGGCCTGCTCGATGTCATCTGCACTGCACGGTACTCCGGACGAGTTGACTTGACACACCAAGGCAAGGCAGAAAGCCACTCGCACTGCATGTGTATATGCCTCTCCACTCACCACGACCCGTCGTCCCTCTGAATATCGACAAGAAATCCCCGTGCCTTCCAGATGGCCTGCTCGATGTCATCTGCACGGTACTCTGGCGTGGTGCGTTGACACAGCACGGCATGTTCTTACGACGCCACTCACCACGACCCGTCGTCCCTCTGAATGTCCACCAAAAAGCCCCGCGCCTTCCAGATGGCCTGCTCGATGTCATCTGCACGGTACTCCGGGTGCGCTCTTGTGAACGCTGTGAGGGCCTGGATGGATGCTGACGTGCACTCCACGTAGCTACAGCAAGGGGTGGGAGTTGTGTGGAGATAAGGGGAAGAGCAGAAAAGGGAGCAGGGATAGGAGCAGGAAAAAGGGCGGTCGGAATGTCATCTGCACGGCACTCAGGGTGCGCTCTTGTGAATGCTGTGAGGGCTTGGATCGTGCTGACGTGTACTCCACGTAGCTGGGAAGTGGGGATGGTGTGAAGATAAAGGGGAGAAGCTGGAAGGGCAGCAGGTAAAGGAGCAGAAAAAAAGGACAGTCGGGATGTCATACGCACACTGCTCTGGATGAGCTCTTGTGAGCGCATGGAAGAAAGTTGACATGATAATAAAATTATTATGAGACGTCTGAAAACAACACATTAATTAATACGTGAAAGCTGAAACAGCACTCAGCGTAGCTGGGAGGAAGGAAGCTCACACAGGTATGACGAGCAAGGGAAGAACAGGAGGGAGAACGTGGTGGGATGGCATCTGCTACGTCCTGTTAGTGTGTCCCAGGCGGTTCTAAGCGGTTCTGAGCTATTCAACTACTTGAAAAATTCTTGGGGTTCATGAAGGGTTTGTCCAAAATCAGTTGCACTCACACGTAAATATTAACCATTATTATGAATGAAACCAGATGCCAAGCAGCATAGGGATGCACAAACGAAATGACTACTCACGAGTAGTCGATGATGATGTTCCCAAACGTCTCAGATGGATTCAGGATCTGCATTGGGACACAAGGGAGGGAAACGTGGGACGGACATGTGAAGGCAGAGGTCTCTCGCTTCGGCTCTCTCTCAACAGACCCAGACAAATGGGGTAGGAAGGGGGAAGAAGAAGAACACTAAGGTTCGGACATGTCTCAGTGAGCTGCGTGCGTGCAGTAGGCTAAAAGCAAAGGAAAAACAGGAAGGGGGAAGAAGAAGAACACTAAGAAATCAAGCTTCGTTGTTGACATGACATTGCTGGGTGCCTCCCTCAGATCAGGAGTGCATCACAAACAGTTTGGTTAGGGTTGAAACCGGAAACTCGGAAGATACTTACAGCATGCAGCAAGCTCACAGAGAAAAGAGAGATCACTAAAACCAGAGAGCTCACACCTCAGGCTCGCACATGAAGCAGAGAGCTCACACCTCAGGCTCGCACATGAAGCAGAGAGCTCACACCTCAGGCTCGCACATGAAGCAGAGAGCTCACACCTCAGGCTCGCACATGAAGCAGAGAGTTCACACCTCAGGCTCGCACATGAAGCATAGAGCTCACACCTCAGGTTCGCACATGAAGCAGAGAGCTCACACCTCAGGCTCGCACATGAAGCAGAGAGCTCACACCTCAGGCTCGCACATGAAGCAGAGAGCTCACACCTCAGGCTCGCACATGAAGCAGAGAGCTCACACCTCAGGCTAGGCTTGAGCAAAATCTCGAACACCTGTTCGGTTCGCCTCGAACATGTTCGAGGCGAACCGAAAAAAAAAAAAAAAAATCGCCTAATTCGTTCGGGGCGAACATGTTCGGTGTTCGGCCGAACATGTTCGCCGTTCGCCACCTCCATTTGGCGAAGGAAAGACGAACACGAACACGCTCGTGTTCGATTTGGGGGGCAGGCAAACACCAAAGTGTTCGCGTCAAAATTGGCCGCGACCAAATTTAGGTCGCGGCCGTTTTGAGTTTGAGCTCATTTCTTGAGCTCAAACTCAAAACGACTTTGGCGCTTAGCCCTCCCTCCCACAACCGCCATAGCCTTGCGGTTTTAAGAGCCATCGCATACCGTTCCTTAACTTTTACACGGACATTTCATCTAACTAGTTAATAGTGTAGGGTAATTTCAGAAACACTAAGGGTTGGTAGCTACGGGATCAAGCTTGTAGAGGTCAATTCTCTAGTCTCTGACCTGTGTGAAAATCGCTTTCTGACCTGTGTGACTATATCGAATATCCCCCTGGGCGAACACAAACATGTTCGCCTCGAACATGTTCGTGTTCGCCTGCTGCAGCAATTCGTTCGCCTCCTAGGGCGAACGGCGAACACCAATTTTCGCCCAAGTCGTTCGCCGAACCGAACACTGTTCGGTTCGGCAGAAGTCGATGTTCGAGTTCGCCCCCTGCTCATCCCTACCTCAGGCTCGCACATGAAGCAGAGAGCTCACACCTCAGGCTCGCACATGAAGCAGAGAGCTCACCTCCAGCCAGGGGTAGGAGCGTGTGTTCTCATATGTGGCCATGCCCCCGTCCTTGTTCTGTTGGGGAGGAGGAGAAAGGGTGAAGGGACAGGGGAAGGGAGAAAGAAGGGGAGGGGAGAGGGGAGTGGGGAAAGATGGGGGTTCAGAAAGAATGAGGATTCGGGGACGAAATGGCAGGAGGGATGGCAGCATAAGGGTTAGGAGTGCGTGTGGCCATGCTGCCATGCCACCGCCCTTGTTCTGCCAAAGGGGGGGGGGGGAGAGAGGGGAGGGAGACGTGGGAGGGGAGAGATGGAATTTGGGATTCAGAGGAATGAGGACAAATGGAGGGGATGGCAGGAAGGTGGGAGCAGGTGGTCTGACATTAGCATGCGTATCCGTAGCATGGTCCTACTTGGTACTGCAGTAGCACATTCACGCGTATGCCTACACTCGCCCATGCACACGTATGCCTACACTCGCCCACACATACACGAGTATGCCTACACTCGCCCACACATACACGAGTATGCCTACACTCGCCCACACATGCACACGTATGCCTACACTCGCCCACACATGCACACGTATGCCTACACTCGCCCACACATGCACACGTATGCCTACACTCGCCCACACATGCATGCACACACGCACAGATGCACCATCTGGCATCTCCCCTGGTAGGGAAGGATGCTGCCTGCACACAGTCGCACAGGCAGGCAAAGAGAGTGGCTAACTAACACCAGGGTCACGACTCACAGGGGCGCAGGGGCATGGGGGCACAGGAGCACAGGGGCAAGGGGAAGCACAGACCTGGTAGGAGAGAATGACGTCATCACTGACTGACCTGGTAAGAGAGAATGACGTCACCACTGACCTGACAGGAGAGAATGACGTCATCACTGACCTTGTAGGAGAGAATGACGTCATCACTGACCTTGTAAGAGAGAATGACGCCATCACTGACCTGGTAGGAGAGAATGACGTCACCACTGACCTGATAGGAGAGAATGACGTCATCACTGACCTGGTAGGAGAGAATGACGTGATCACTGACTGACCTGGTAGGAGAGAATGACGTCACCACTGACCTTGTAGGAGAGAATGACGTCATCACTGACCTGGTAGGAGAGAATGACGTCATCACTGACCTGGTAGGAGAGAATGACGTCATCACTGACCTGGTAGGAGAGAATGACGTCATCACTGACCTGGTAGGAGAGAATGACGTCATCACTGACCTGGTAGGAGAGCATGACGTCATCACTGACCTGGTAGGAGAGAATGACGTCATCACTGACCTGGTAGGAGAGAATGACGTCATCACTGACCTGGTAGGAGAGAATGACGTCATCACTGACCTGGTAGGAGAGAATGACGTCATCACTGACCTGGTAGGAGAGAATGACGCCATCACTGACCTGGTAGGAGAGAATGACGTCATCACTGACCTGGTGGGAGAGAATGACGTCATCACTGACCTGGTAGGAGAGAATGACGCCATCACTGACCTGGTAGGAGAGAATGACGTCATCACTGACCTGGTAGGAAAGAATGACGTCGACACAGTCGCAGAGGCGCGCTCGGGAATGGCCTCCCCCACCAGGTGGGGCGGGAGGGCCTCCAAGATGAGCGATGCCTGATGGGTGCGAGAGGTGAGCATTGAGGTGAGAGGTGGGAGGTGGGAGGTGGGAGGTGAGAGGTGGGAGGTGGGAGGTGGGAGGTGAGAGGTGGGAGGTGGGAGATGGGATGTGAGGAGGAATAGGGAGAGAGATATAGGTTGTAGGTGCGATCCCCACATTCCTTCCTCGCCCACCAGGTGGGAAGGGAGGGCCTCCAAGATGAGTGATGATGCCTGATGGATGGGTGCGCAGTGAGCAATGAGGTGCGGGTGAGGGAGGCAATCACCACACAAGGGAGACAAGACAACTATGGCATGTTTCTTAATACATCTATTGCGCTTTGCAAACATGACGCGTATATCGATAATTACATATAGTACATACATATAGTACATATAGTACTTTTCATGGCTTGGATAATGAATGAGACATAAAATGCCATCTCATCTCCTACACGATGCATAAAGCACACTCAGTTTCAGCATTACAACAAGCACACTCACTTTGAGCCCTTCGGACGAGCAGTCACTGATGGGCCAGCCGTGGTCTCGGGTTGAGAAAGGCCAGGCGCCCCTGGAGATGTGGCGGTACCATGCTGACAGCTTGCCGGGGCAGTCCTCCTGGACCTGGTTGGTGGGATGAGAGCAGGGGTGAGGGAAAGAGGAAAGAGGAGAAGGAAGGTGCGTGGAGAAACAAGGGCCAGGCGCCCCTGGAGATGCGGTGGTACCACGCTGATAGCTTGCCGGGACAGTCCTCCTGGACCTAGTGAGGGAACGAGGAAAGAGGAGAAGGAAGATGCATGGAGGTGGGTAGAAGGGCCACGGGATTCCCTGGAGATGTGGCAGGGCAAGAGTTTCAAGATAAAGATGCAGGATTGGAAGGATGCTAACAAAGGGAATGGGACCTTGCAGCTTACCTGGGAGCGCTCGAGATACGAGTGGGCGAGGTTGAGGGCGCGATGGGTTTCGTCCATCATGCAGGTGGAGTGCAGCGCCTGCACTGCAAAGGCCGTGTCCCACAGCTGACTGCCGTTGTAGCCTTGATTGGGGTTTGGGAAGATTGGGAGTTTTTGGGTTTTTTTGTTTTTGGGAAGGTTGATGTATTAGGGGGTGGGCAACAACCTGTGAAGGATGCTTCTTGAGAATACTTACACCTGTTGCAGTCACACTACAAACAATCACACCTTATACAGCCACATCTCATACAGTCTGGACCCATACAGTCACAGCCCGCCCCTTCTTCCCTACAGTCACATTCCATGTGGACACCCGCATCTTCATGCCACCCTCTCCAGCTACGGTCTCTCCTTACAGTAACACACTCTCACACACCTCAACAGATTCAAACCCCTACGTAGTCACGGTCTCTGCAGCAACCACATTCCGCACAACACCCACCCATATTTTCATGCCACCCTCCGCCAGCCAGAGGCAGTCCGCCACTCGCGGAAGGGGCTTCTTGTGGTTACCACACCGCATATAGTCACTCCTCGCATACAGTGTCACACACAGCCCCACCTGCATCTTCATGCCGTCATCGGCCACCCAGAGAGGTAGTCCGCCACTCGTGCCAGGTGCTTCTTGTGGTTACCACACTTCGTATAGTCACCACCCATACAGCCACACCTCATACAGTGTCACACACACCCCAGCCCCACCTGCATCTTCATGCCATCCTCGGCCAGCCAGAGGTAGTCCGCCACGCGTGGCAGGTGCTTCTTGAATGCCTCACTGGTGGGATCCTCCACCCAGCAGCACAGCATGTTGATCACCTGGGAGGGGGAGGGGGTGACGAGGGTGAGTGAGGGGAGGGGAGCGGAGAGAAAGGTGAGGAGAGAAGGAGCAGGGTAGGAGAGGAGGGCGGATCAATGAGAAGGGTCTGCCAGTGGGGTCCTTCACCCAACAGCACAGCACGTTGATCACCTGGGAGGGAGGAGGGGAGAAGGGGGGAAAAGGGGAGCAGCGGGGAGGGAAGGGGAGGGGAGGGAGACGGGATGGGATGGGAGTGGAGGGGAGGGAAGGGAAGGGGAGGGGAATCGGGAGGGTACACTTGCAGCAGCAGCATAGAGCAGCAGAGGAGGGATAGAACGGGCAGTAGAGGACTGATCTACTGAAGTCTAGATGTGACACGCCTTGACATTTGAGAGAGGGGGCCGGAGGCAGCTTGCTAATCCAAAACGGAGGCTCTCTTTCTGGGAAGATTCCGCTGTTGGGGGTCGACCAGGCAGGCGCACAGCACGGTATGGTGATCAGCTGGGAAGAGAGTGGTGGGGGAGGACGAGGCAGCAAAGGGCTGATTTCATCACTTTGACTCCTGAGATATTTTTGAAGTTACGGAGAGAGAAGAGATAGGAGCACAGTGCATTTATTGGGTGTGTGGTGGGGTGGGGGTGGAGGGGGGTAGTGGAGGGAGGGGTTGAGAAAATTGAACAAGCGAGAGGAAGGACGTGTTGGAGGTAGGACGTGTTGGAGGTAGGTGAAAGGGTGGGACGCACGTGGGAAGAGGGTGGGGGACTTTGATGTGTGCTGAATGTTTACTAGTAATTCGGGCAACAGCCATCCTTATTCTCGTAACTCGTTTACCTTATTAACAGGCCCGATGCAGACATAGCGAGTGTTCTCGTCCTCGTAGTGTATATGCTTCATCGCCTCCCTGAGCGCCATCCTCCTTATAAGCTTCCCTGGTGGCAGCTTATTGAAGAGCGGCTCGGCCACGTGGTATAGGGCATCCCAGACGCAGTCTTGGATGAAGGGATGAGGGAAGTACAGGTCCTCCTATGGTATGTGGGAGGAAGGGAGGAGCGGAGAAGGGGAGGAGGGAGGAGGTGAGGAGGGGAGGAGGGAGGAGGTGAGGAGGGGCGGATGGGAGGATGGGAGGAGGTGTGGAGGGGAGGAGGGGCGGAGGGGAGGAGGGGCGGAGGGGAGGAGGGGCGGAGGGGAGGATGGGAGGAGGTGTGGAGGGGAGGAGGGGCGGAGGGGAGGAGGGGCGGAGGGGAGGAGGGGCGGAGGGAAGGAGGGGAGGGATTGTAGTGGGCATTTTGGAGGTAGCTTCAAGTACAGCGGTACTGGGAGGGGAGTGGGATGAGCAAAAAGGGGATGAGCAAAAAGGGGGATGAGCAAAAAGGGGGATGAGCAAAAAAGGGGAAGACATGAATGGGCTTGAGGGGTGTTACGTTCCATCTCTACGTGACCAACATAACAGATCACCAACTGAGTTTCAAGACGCATGGATTCTCGATTCATGCCCAAATGAAGAGCATGTCAATAACTGAATCCGGACAACCGGCACCTCATATTAAATCGAAATGATATAAACATACAGACTATTACCGATCTCACAGTAAGAGAAAGCACTCACCTTGACACATCGGCGCCTCATGTTGTTCCAGTTGATGGACTCATATGGCTCGTTATAGAGCTCCTCTCTAAGAGCCGCAACGAGGGGCGTGTCAGTGGGGCCATGGGCTCTCAAGCCGTAGATGTAGCACATGGGGAGGTACACCATGCGGCAGTGGCACCACATGCGCCCTGGGATGGGAGATGGAGGGGGGTGGAGAGGGATGGAAGGGGATGGAGAGGGATGGAGAGCGGTAGAGAGGGGGGCTCTCAAGCCGTAGATGTAGCACATCGGAAGGTACACCATGCGACAGTGGCACCACATGAGAAGGGAAGATGGGGGAGGTTGGCATGCGTGGGTGGGAGAGGGATGGCATGTGTGGAGTGGAAGTGCCTTTGAAGCGTTTCAAGCTATGATGCATGCAGCACATGGGGAGGTACATGCGACAATGGCGCCACATGAGAAGAGAAGATGGGGGAGGTTGGCATGGTGGGAGAGGGATGGCATGTGTGGAGTGGAGGTGCCTTTGAAGCGTTTCAAGCTATGCTGCAGCACATGGGGAGGTACATGCGACAATGGCACCACATGCGGCCTGGGATGGGACATGGGGAGGGAGGGATGGAGTGTGTGAGAGAGCTGGGGTGAGGGATGAACGGAGAGATAGAAAGAGAGGCAAAGAAAAAAAAAGTCTGAAACTGTGAGGCACTGTTTTTTTGGGATATGTTGTTGTGGGGTGTGGGGTGTGGGGTGTGGAGTGTGGAGTGTGGAGTGTGGAGTGTGGGGTGTGGGGTGTGGAGTGTGGAGTGACTAGAGTGTGCATGGAGTGACTAGAGTGTGCATGGAGTGACTAGAGTGTGCATGGAGTTCATGGTCTTGAGAATGGAGTTCATGGTCTTGAGAATGGAGTTCATGGTCTTGAGAATGGAGTTCATGGTCTTGAGAATGGAGTTCATGGTCTTGAGAATGGAGTTCATGGTCTTGAGAATGGAGTTCATGGTCTTGAGAATGGATTTCATGGTCTTGAGAATGGAGTTCATGGTCTTGAGAATGGATTTCATGGTCTTGAGAATGCTGCAACAACTTGCCAGGTCATTGTGATATACCATGTGGCACCACTCACAAGGGCTATTGTACAGGGAAGAGGGGAGAGGAACCAGGAAGAGGAAGTGGGAAGACGAAGTGGGAAGAGGGAAGATGAAGTGGGAAGAGGGAAGATGAAGTGGGAAGAGGGAAGAGGAAGTGGGAAGTGGGAAGAGGAAGTGGGAAGAGGGAAGAGGAAGTGGGAAGTGGGAAGAGGAAGTGGGAAGTGGGAAGAGGGAAAAGGAAGACATACCTGGGTGAACGGGGAGGAAGTAGGGTAAAAGCCACATTTCAGGGGGCATGGGGTTGATGCCTCGATAGTCGTACACGCCTAGCACCTGCCCATCACACAAGGGCGGACAAGCACGTGCAGCGGGAATGGGTAGCTTAGAGGGGAAGGGTGGGAGTTTGAAGGAGCTCAGGAGATTTCAGGCACCCTGGGGTTGATTGATGCCCCTGTGGTGTGGTCGTACACGCAACGGCAGCAGTGGTGGTGGACGAGGGCTTGTAGGTGAGTGAAGGGAGTGGGGGAGAAGAAGGGACTGGTCGATTGACTGATGCCAGAGGGAATGGAACCTGAAGTTAACGCCAACTTGTGAAAATGGTGAAGAGGAAAGAGCTATTTGGTCAAGAAAAGAAAGAGAAGGTCACCAAAAGTGGGTGACCAATCAGGAGTTGGGCATCTGCAAGCAAGCAACACCATTGGTCATGTCATGATTACGGTCAGAGAACAACATGACGAAACACCTGTACTCTGGGGGCTGGACTGGACTCACGCAAAGCCTGCCCCACAACGTGCTGCTGGCAGTGACACCAGCGTGGCAGCAGGTAGGGCAGACCAAGCAATGAAACTCACGCATGTGCAATTTCACCATAAAATAAAAAACAGGGAACCACGGACTCACGCAGAGCCAGAATTTGCCCCAGGAGGTGCTGGCAGTGGCGCTGCCATGCGAGAGGATCCACTCGCGGCCAGCTGCCATAGCCCCTGCACTGCACTGCACTCACGCAGAGCCAGAATTTGCCCCAGGAGGTGCTGGCAATGGCACCAGCGTGGCAGCAGCATGCAGATGGAAAATGAATACATAGCCCCTGCACTGCACTGCACTCACGCAGAGCCAGAATTTGCCCCAGGAGGTGCTGGCAATGGCACCAGCGTGGCAGCAGCATGCAGATGGAAAATGAATACATAGCACCTGCACTGCACTGCACTGACGCAGAGCCAGAATTTGCCCCAGGAGGTGCTGGCAATGGCACCAGCGTGGCAGCAGCATGCAGATGGAAAATGAATACATAGCCCCTGCACTGCACTGCACTCACGCAGAGCCAGAATTTGCCCCAGGAGGTGCTGGCAATGGCACCAGCGTGGCAGCAGCATGCAGATGGAAAATGAATACATAGCCCCTGCACTGCACTGCACTCACGCAGAGCCAGAATTTGCCCCAGGAGGTGCTGGCAATGGCACCAGCGTGGCAGCAGCATGCAGATGGAAAATGAATACATAGCCCCTGCACTGCACTGCACTCACGCAGAGCCAGAATTTGCCCCAGGAGGTGCTGGCAATGGCACCAGCGTGGCAGCAGCATGCAGATGGAAAATGAATACATAGCCCCTGCACTGCACTGCACTGCACTGCACTCACGCAGAGCCAGAATTTGCCCCAGGAGGTGCTGGCAATGGCACCAGCGTGGCAGCAGCATGCAGATGGAAAATGAATACATAGCCCCTGCACTGCACTGCACTGCACTGCACTCACGCAGAGCCAGAATTTGCCCCAGGAGGTGCTGGCAATGGCACCAGCGTGGCAGCAGCATGCAGATGGAAAATGAATACATAGCCCCTGCACTGCACTGCACTGCACTGCACTCACGCAGAGCCAGAATTTGCCCCAGGAGGTGCTGGCAATGGCACCAGCGTGGCAACAGCATGCAGATGGAAAATGAATACATAGCCCCTGCACTGCACTGCACTGCACTGCACTGCACTCACGCAGAGCCAGAATTTTCCCCAGGAGGTGCTGGCAATGGCACCAGCGTGGCAGCAGCATGCAGATGGAAAATGAATACATAGCCCCTGCACTGCACTGCACTGCACTGCACTGACGCAGAGCCAGAATTTGCCCCAGGAGGTGCTGGCAATGGCACCAGCGTGGCAGCAGCATGCAGATGGAAAATGAATACATAGCCCCTGCACTGCACTGCACTCACGCAGAGCCAGAATTTGCCCCAGGAGGTGCTGGCAATGGCACCAGCGTGGCAGCAGCATGCAGATGGAAAATGAATACATAGCCCCTGCACTGCACTGCACTCACGCAGAGCCAGAATTTGCCCCAGGAGGTGCTGGCAATGGCACCAGCGTGGCAGCAGCATGCAGATGGAAAATGAATACATAGCCCCTGCACTGCACTGCACTGCACTGCACTGCACTCACGCAGAGCCAGAATTTGCCCCAGGAGGTGCTGGCAATGGCACCAGCGTGGCAGCAGCATGCAGATGGAAAATGAATACATAGCCCCTGCACTGCACTGCACTGCACTGCACTCACGCAGAGCCAGAATTTGCCCCAGGAGGTGCTGGCAATGGCACCAGCGTGGCAGCAGCATGCAGATGGAAAATGAATACATAGCCCCTGCACTGCACCTCACGCAGAGCCAGAATTTGCCCCAGGAGGTGCTGGCAATGGCACCAGCGTGGCAGCAGCATGCAGATGGAAAATGAATACATAGCCCCTGCACTGCACTGCACTCACGCAGAGCCAGAATTTGCCCCAGGAGGTGCTGGCAATGGCACCAGCGTGGCAGCAGCATGCAGATGGAAAATGAATACATAGCCCCTGCACTGCACTGCACTGCACTGCACTGCACTCACGCAGAGCCAGAATTTGCCCTAGGAGGTGCTGGCAATGGCACCAGCGTGGCAGCAGCATGCAGATGGAAAATGAATACATAGCCCCTGCACTGCACTGCACTGCACTCACGCAGAGCCAGAATTTGCCCCAGGAGGTGCTGGCAATGGCACCAGCGTGGCAGCAGCATGCAGATGGAAAATGAATACATAGCCCCTGCACTGCACTGCACTCACGCAGAGCCAGAATTTTCCCCAGGAGGTGCTGGCAGTGGCGCTGCCATGCGAGAGGATCCACTCGCGGCCAGCTGCCATGGCGGGATTGGCCGGGTGATCGCCCAGGATGCGCAGGGAGACGTAGTTGAGGGTGGAGCCGAACATGGTGCTGTGGCCCTCTATGTGCAGCCCCCACCCGCCGTCCGGGTTCTGGGGGGGGAGAGGGAAGGGTGTAGGGAGAGAGCATACATGGAGGGGGCACGACAGACAAGGGTGCCCAGATCTAGAGCCGCACATGGTGCTGTGGCCCTCTATGTGCAGCCCCCACCCGCCGTCCGGGTTCTGGAGGAGGGGTGGGAGTTTGGGTTGAGCGTGGGAGGGAGATTGGGTAGGCGGGGGGAGAGATGGTGCCTCAAGAGAGGGTGGAGCCTAACATGGTGCCCCTCTATGTGCAACCCCTACCAGCCGTCACGGTTCTGGGGGAGGGATGGAAGGGTGTAGGGAGAGAGCACTCAGGGAGGGGGCACGACAGACAAGGGTGCCCAGATCTAGAGGCGAACATGGTGCTGTGACCCTCTCTATGTGTAACCCCCACCCGCCGTCAGGGTTCTGAGGAGTGGGGGTGACCGGCCTACCATGCAACCCGACTTTGAAATCCCTTCCTCATCCCACCCCAGTAACCAAACACTCACCTGGTGGTTGTAGAGGTATTGCACCATCTCCCTCTTGTGCTCTGCTGTCAGGACTCAGCACGCAGAGGCCCATCACCCGACCCCACTCGCATCACACCATCTGTTCGTCGTGAAGCATGTGCGAAGGCCCATGAACCAACCCCACTCACCTGATGGTTGTAGAGGTATCGCACCATCTCCCTCTTGTGCTCTGCTGTCAGCACTCCATGCCCATCAGCCCACAACGTTCACAGCCCCATCACCCCACCCCACCCACAGCATTGTGAATCATGTGAAACGCTCACCTGGTGGTTGTAGAGGTATCGCACCATCTCCCTCTTGTGCTCTGCTGTCAGCACCTGGTCCAGTGCACCCGTCACATGCAGGGTGATCAGCTGACAGGGGACGAAGTGGCAGGGGGGTGGGTGGGAGAGAAGGAAGAGCTCCTTTGAGTTTGCTGCCACAACGACTCGAGTGCACTACCGTAGATAGAGACTCTGGTGCTCGGCTGTCAGCACCTGGTTCAGGGCGCCCGTCACATGCAGCGTGATCAGCTGACAGGTGCAGCAGAGGCAGGGGAGAAAGAGAAATGGGGGAAAGAGCTCTCAGTTCACTGCTAGAAAGACTCGAGTGCACTACTACAGAGACTCTTACGCTCTGCTGTGAGCACCTGGTCTGGTCCAGTGCGCCCGTCACATGCAGGGTAATCAGCTGGGAGGGGTAAACAGGGAGAGGGGAGAGGGGAGCGGGGGAAAAGCTGCTGTAAGTGCACTACCACAACAAAGACTTATGTGCACCACCACAGAGGCTCTTGCTCTCTGCTGTCAGCACCTGGTCCAGTGCGCCCGTCACATGCAGGGTGATTAGCTGAGAGAGGTGCAGACATGGAGCGGGAGAAGGGAGGGTGGAGCTTCTTTGAGCACACTACCACGAAGTGTCTTGTGCTTGGCTGTCAGCTGAGAGGGTGGGTGGTAAAGATGGGGCAAGGAGGCACAAGGACGGGCAAGGAAGGGCAAGAAGGGGCGGGTTTTAGGCCATGGGACAGGTGGGTATGGAGTGGCGAAGGGTTACAAGTGGCAACTGGAGGGGAATCGGAAACAAGACATGGGGAGAAGTGTGGGAGATTGAGAGAGTGAAGGGTGAAATGAGGGGAGAAGTGATGGAAACGAAGGTAGTGCAGGAGGGGGCAGTGAAAGGTAGGGTGGGGAAACCTGGTCCAGTGCGCCCATCACACGCAGTGTCATCAGCTGAAAAAGAGACGGGATGAAAGAGGGTAACAGAACGAAGAGGAACAGGAAAAGCAAAGGTACTGTTCTGCTGCATTCATGAGCCCCGCAAGTTATGCTGACAGCACCTGGTGGTGCAGGGCGGCCGCCACAGCACGTCTTTACATAAAGTCACCTTCCCTCACTGAGCAATGACAGGCCCACCAGCGGGCGCCTCAAAAACAGACAACCCCTCTCACCCCTCTCACCCCTCTCACCCACTCACCAGTCCCCCGCCCACTGCCCGACTCTGCTTGGGTGGCCAGGCCTCATAGAATTGCATGGCACGACTTCAGTATAGACTCTATAGGGTCACTTCACCCACTGAAAAATGGTCGGCCCACCAGTGGGCGTGCTAACAACAGGCACAGTCGCTCACCAGCCCTGGCATGAGGAAGAGAGGGCCGCCATAGTCCCCCGCCCAGTGCCCGTCCTCTGCCTGAATCGTCTCATAGAAGCGCACAGCCCTCCTTAGAGTCACATCCACTGCCGCCTCATCCACGACTGTGGCTGTCGACACGGGCTCTTCGGTTACTCGCACTTGAGGGGGCTGGTTGGCGGGAGGCTTGCCTCCTGTGAGCTGGGAGGCACAGGGGAGGGAGGGGAGGGAACGTGAAAGCAGGTGAGATCAGAAGCAGGGAGGGACGAGGTGAAACCCACAGCATTGTCTGAAGCATCAGCATGGGCCGTCAAGGGGGGGTCTGACTGACAGACGCACAAGGGGGGGAAGGGGGGCTGACTGACAGACGTGAGGTGGCTGCTGACTGACAGACATGGTGTGATGTGAATGAGCGCACTCGACTTCAATTCACACCGTTGTTCAGTTCAGTGTGTTGAGGTCGAAAGTGGTAAACTGCGAGAACCGTTTACACCCAACTTCCAACTATTCAAGACAGTCACACTCATTACAACACAATCACCTGTAGGCGCATGAGCACATCGCTGCTGTGCTTCCTCTCCTGCATGTGCCATTGAATTCCTCATTATAGTCAGACTCGTTACAAATACCAACCTGCAACCTCATGAGCGCATCGCTGCTGTGTTTTTGCCCCTGCCTATTCCGCGTGAACTCCTCCCTCAGCCTCTCCACCTCCTGCCTCTCCTCCTCTGTCCCTGCTGCCGGGTCAAACTCCCAAGTCTGCATGATTGGGGAGAGGAAGTATAGAGAGTGGTGAAAAGGAAATCAAGGAAACCTCTTATCGCTGGGTCAAACTCCCATGTCTGTGTGACGGGGGAGGAGTATAAGAGGTGATGGAACGAAGCCAAGGAATCTTGCTGCCATTCGCTCATTACTTTACAGTCCGCTCCGCTTCTTTTGGTCAGAGTGTCTTAAGACGGTTGCACGCATTGCCTTCGCTGATGTGCATGGAGGGATGATGGAGAGGAGCAGAGAGAGAGGATACTATGAAAGGGGCAGGAGCAGAGCAGAGTAGAGCAGTAGAGCAGTGGGTGAAGGGGGTTAGTGGCGGAAGGTCCCATTCCTGTCATTCTCTGTTGTATTTATCTCAACGCTTATCCATTCACACATCCCTTTATCACATTCCCGTCTCCTATCTCTTAATCCACTAATTGTAATCGCATACACATCACAGAAACCTACAGCACCGTTCTCCTTCATAGTCCTCGCTAAAAAGCACTTCGAAATAACATTCATCCACAACACAGTTCTTCCTGATGTACATAATCGTTTTGATGCACTAAGATAACCGCATTCCCGCTGGTTTCCATGTTGATGGAACGCTGATAGCAGTTCAAGCGGTTGCGTGTACATCCTGGTGAGAGATTCCTAGTAAGCGGTCGCACAGGTCGCGCAGGTAGCTTAGGCCGCACGCTCAGGTCGTTTGGGTCGCTCGCGTCGCTCAGGTCGCAAGCGCATCGAGTAGTGCGGGCTAACAATCTCTCGACACGTTCATTGTCGCACACGATGCTCGACCGTCTGGAGTCGCAACTACCGGCGCACAGGTCGCCCGGCCGCCTACGGTCGCACCTGTCGGCCAGGGAAGTCGCTGACGCTCGTCAGAAACGGACTGTCCCCTGTCGCCACGCGAAGTCGCCACATTGCGACTGGATCGTCCAGAGATCCACCGCTGACGGCGAAACTTGCTTATATAGAACTTGTAACTAGAAATCGCGTGGAGGATAAGCAGAATTAGTTGGACAGAACAACGGTAGAATCTGACCGTCACGTTGTGACGTTGTGTCGTTGTGACAGTCGGTGGTCGTCACGTTGTGAGTCAGCATGTTCATCTTTTTTCAATCGTGCAGCGCAATTCAGGCAGTTCCCGATGATTTGTCGCAGATCCAAGCAGAACCCTTCTGGAACGTAAAAGACCAAAGAACGCCACGACACATTTCAAACAAACCTGCCCAGCCCAACAATGTCAGGGGAACGACCTTCTAGAACCTCTCAAAGCTCGCTATGGAAAGCTTCGCTAAAACTGTGGGATTCGTTCAGAGAATAAGAGCAGACGCACCTTATACTCATGACACTAGATATACATCAACAAAGCACTGTTCCAGCAAGGAGTTCAAAAGCCAACTGAAGCAGGGATGTCGCTAGCAATTTTTTTTGTCTGTTTGTCTGATATTCAGAGAGGTTTTTTGTCATTAATCTGATTTTTCAGAAATGACTTTTTTTTTTGTAATATCTGATTAAACAGGAATGGTTTTTTTTTTTTTCATCTGATGGATCAGACATGGTTTTCCTGTTCTTCTAATTCATCAGGAACACTTTCCGGTTTCGTCTGATACCGGGTCTTTCTTCCCTTAGGCGTGATTTCGGCGTGAACAAGGCGTGGGGATGCGTATGTCCAAATGTCATAATGCTTACATTTTGTAGGTTGTAGTGGGGTAGCCCACAAGGGGTACAACCCAATTAGGGTTAGTACTTGTACCAACTTTCTGTTCAATGCATTCATTCTCGTTCAGTATTCTGACATGGTTTCAGAGCAGGTCCTGTTCCAAGACAGTTTTTTTTTAGGGCCCACCACAGAGTGCTGCCCCACTGTCGCGTCGCCCTGCTGCTGCCTGTCACGTCGCCCTGCTGGCTGTCGCGTCGCCCTGCTGGCTGTCGCGTCGCCCTGCCCTGCCCGCGCGTCGCATTGCTGGCAACCGCGCCGCCCTGCCCTGCCCTGCCCGCGCTGAGCCGCCCTGCTGCCCGCACCGCCCTGCTGCGCGCCGCCCTGCTGCTCGCGCCGCCCGGCTGCTGCCCGACATGCTGCGCGCAGCCCTGCTGGCCGGCGCCTTGCTGCCCGCGCGCCACCCTGCTGGCAGCCGCACCGCTGCCCGCACTGCCCTGCCCGCGCCGCCCTGCTGTTGCCCACCCTGTTGCGCGCCGCCCTGCTGGCCGACGCCCTGCTGCCCGCGCGCCGCCCTGCTGCCCACGCACCGCCCTACTGGCAGCCACACCGCCCTGCCCTGCCCACGCGCCGCCCTGCCCTGCCATTGCACTGCCCTGCCCTGGCTGTGCGCCGCTAATCCCTAGCAGTGCGCTGCCTCTCCCTGCACTGCGCACTTCCCTAGTGCTCGCGCGCCGCCCTGCCTGTGTGCTACCCTGCTGGTCGCGCGCCACCCTGCTCTGCCTGCTATGGCTTCTCTTAGTGTTCTCACCTTCGATCATGAGGGCCGTTCGATCCAGTTCGATACGTGGCTCGACGACTTACAGGTGTACCTACTGAGCGATTCTAGAGACAGCGTTTCGTTGCTTGACCACACGTCTAGAGCCTCTTTCGCCCCTCCCGCCACAGCTGACAGTGCGACTCGCTCACAGTGGCTTACCCGTGACGCTGCTACTTGCTTAGCCATTCACAACCACCTGCCGTTAGCTGAACGCGCTCACTTTCGCCAGCACAAGACTGCTGAAGCCCTGTACGACGATGTAGTCGCTCGTTACTCTTCCCCTGCCACTGCTGCTCTCGGCCGCCTTATACTTCTCTACCTGTTTCCCGAGCTGTCAGCCTTTGCCATAGTCGAGGACCTCGTTACCCACCTTTGCACTAGCGACACTCGTTACCGCGCTGCCCTCCCGGCAGAGTTCCTAGACAGGAACCCGCCCCCAATGTACATCACTCTCTACTTCATAGTCACCCGCCTCCCTGAATCTCTTCGTGCTGTCAGGGGCCACTTTCTTGCATCTTGACCCCACAGACCTCACTGTCGACCTGCTCGAGAAGCACCTCCTTGCAGCCGAGACTAGTGTAGTCACTGTAGGTGCTGCTCGTGGCACTCCTCGCACACCCTTCTTTGAAGGGTGTCCCCCCTCCCCCCCCTGCCCCCTCCTACGCTTCTGCTGCTGCTGTTGACATCCTTGGTACTGAGGATGTCGGGGACGCTTCTGCTCTTTGTGGGAAGCGCCGTAGCAGCAAGGGCAAGGGTGGCAAGGGTGGTGGAGGTGGCAGCGGGGGTGGTGGTGGTGGAGGCAGTGGAGGCGGTGGAGGTGGCGGAGGTGGTGGCAGCGGTGGGAGTGGTGGCGGGAGTGGGGGCTTCGATGGCGGCGGTGGTGGCAGCAGTGGGGGTGGGGGTGGCGGTGGTGGCGGTAGTGGGAGTAGTGGCGGCGGCAGTGGTGGCGGAATGGGTGGAGTTGCTCAGCGGGGAGGTTCTGGCGGTGGCCAGAGGCAGTAGCAGCAGCGTTGGAGCGAGACCCCTACGCCCCAGTAGCTTTGTGAGTGGTTTGATCAGCGTGGGGCGTCTGGGGGTAGTGTTCGCTGCCCGTATGTCATTCGCACAGGTGACCGCGCTGGTCAGACATGCGGGAAGTTTCACATACAACACCGCTGCTTCTCCCACCTTGACGACGCTTAGCGCGCAGAGTTTGGAGACGAGGCTAAGCGCCCCCGCTAGCTAGAGCTGCTTAGGTCTAGAGTTGATATCTTTGCTCTTGACTATGATGCTATCATTGCTGCCATGTATGCCTTGTCTGTTAGTGCTGAGGGTGACTGTTACCTGTGTGTGCCGCCCGACCCAGGTATAGAGGCTATTGCTCTAGGTGCTAGTAAGTTTTCTCTCCCTGGTACTGCGCCTGCTAAGGCCTTGCACACCTTCACACTTGACTCAAGTGCTTCCCGCTGTTTCTTTCGCGACAGTACCACCCTCACTCCACTCCCTGCACCTGTTCCAGTCAGACCGGCTGACCCCTCAGGGGGCCCAGTTCTTGCCCGTTCCTCCACTGTTCTCCCGTGTCCGGTGGTTCCGTCCAGCTCACTCTCAGGTCTTCACCTCCCCTCGTTCTCTATGAACTTGGTGAGTACCGCTGCTCTCCAGGATGCGATGGTCACTACCACCACTCATGGGGGTCAGCGGTTGTCGGTCTGCACATGTACACGGACGGGCCGTCACCTGGCCACGTTCACCCGTCGGCCTGGGTTGAGTCTGTACACACTGACTGCTGCGCCTCCTCAAGTAACTGCATCTGCTCAGGTGTCCGTGTCAGGTCCGGTAGCAGCCCCCTGCTCGTGTCGCCTCCTGTCGCACCAGACTCTCCTGTGGCACCACCGCCTTGGTCAACCCTCCCTGCCACGCCTTCGTGGCATGCACTCCCGCCTCCTTGTTTCTGGTCTTCCCAGGTCTCTGCCTCCCCTCCCGCCCTTGCGTGCCCCGCCCTGCCTTCCTTGCGTTGAGGGGCGGCAGCGCGCCGCTCCTCACTCCTCCTCGTTTCCCCCGACGACTGCTCCCCTGCAGACTCTCCACATGGACGTGTGGGGCCCAGCTTGCGTCAGTGGACAGGACCGCGAGCGCTACTTTCTGCTGGTTGTTGACGACTACACGCGTTACACCACGGTCTTCCCATTCCGCAGCAGGGGTGAGGTCCCTGATGTCTTGATCCCTTAGATCCGCCCAGTCCGTCTCTAGCTCCGCGAGCGGTTCCGTAAGGACAATCCTGTCCTACGTCTGCACTCTGACAGAGGTGTTGAGTTCTTCTTCGACCTCTTGCGGTAATTTTGTCGTGGGGAGGGCATCCTCCAGTCGTTCACGCTTCCGGCCTCCCCGCAGCAAAATGGGGTTGCTGAGCGCCGCATTGGCTTAGTCATGGAGGTCGCTCGTACCTCCATGATCCATGCGGCTGCTCCCCATTTTCTATGGCCGTTTGCGGTCCGGTACGCTGCGCATCAGCTCAACCTCTGGCCCTGTGTCTCCTTGCCGGAAACCTCACCTACACTGCGTTGGACGGGGAAGGTTGGCAATGCGTCGGTGTTCTGGGTCTGGGGCTCTCATGCCTTTGCTCGCGATACTTCCGCGGACAAGCTCTCCTCCCGCGCTATTCCTTGCGTCTTCCTTGGCTTTCCCCCTGACGAGCCTGGCAGGCAGTTTTACCACCCCACCTCGCGCCGTGTTCTTACGTCTCAGGATGTCACGTTCGACGAGTCAGTTCCCTTTTACCATCTCTTCCCCTATTGCACTGCCCCTCTCCCTCCCCCCCCGCTTTTCCTCGATCCAGGTCCCCCTCAGGTAGACCCCCTCCCCCCTCAAGGTCCTACTCTCTCAGGTGTGTCTCAGGTAGACCCTCTCCTCCTGGCTGTGCCTGTCAAGGTCGCTGTAGACTCAGGTGCTGCTAGAGGTGCTGCGTATTGTGGTGCTACGTCTAGGGGTGGTGAGCCTGCGAGTGCGGAGCCTGGGGGTGCTGAGTCTGAGGGTGCGGGGTCTGGGGGTGCTGAGCCTAAGGGTGCGGTGCCTGGGGGTACTAAGCCTGAGGGTGCGGAGCCTGGGGGTGCTGAGTTCGAGGGTGCGGAGTCTCGGGGTGTTGAGCCTAGGGGTATTGCGTCTGCCAGAGGTCCTGCGGGAGCCTCTCTCACCGCAGCAGCTACGCGAGTGGTTTGCTCAGCGCACACACGTTACGAGTGGCGCTGCAGGAGCTGGAGGCTCTGTCGCTGGAGGCACTGGAGCTGGAGGTGCTGGAGCTGCTGGTCCTGGAGGTGCTCGTACGAGTGGTACTAGAGCTGCCGGAGCTGGTGGTGTTGGAGGCGCTGGAGCTGGAGACCTTGGCGCTGGAGGCACCGGAGCTGGAGACCCTGGTTCTGGAGGCGTTGGAGCTGGAGGCACTGGAGTTGGAGGTGCAAGAGCTTG